TCCCGACGGTAGAAAGATAACATTCATGTACGACCCACCGACCGCTACACCAGCCTCACTACGGATGTCACGTTCCTTGCCCACCCTCACTTCCTGAGTGAGCACGCACGCACGCACGCACGCACGCGCACAATGTGTCAAGATGACAGAACCAATGACGCTAAAATATCACGTCTCGTGGAGATAAAACCCACCCTAACAGCGCAAAAAATTAAAGATAATCAACTTGCTATGACCGGCAAGTAAAATAATCCGAGTAACTTCCCTGGAAGTGCCTCATGGCACTTAGGTGGTCTCCAGAAAAACTAGAATAGGATAACCTATCTTGAGTGATAGCCATCATTTGTTACTTTCCGATCTGTTAAAACAAAAAGTCTTGGCATTAAAATATTAGAATAATATTAACCTGCTGTATGTTAAATCAAACTTTATCGGCCGCGGAATAATGAGGTGGACGTGCCTTGCCCCAAATATCCAATCCCCGGGAAATTGAAATTGAAATTGAAATAAGTTTGAGGTAAAATACACACAAAGGGATGAGGTAGCTCAAGCTATTCTCACCCCGTTCAGTACATCGTGTTAATACATACATAGACACACATCACAAACAATAAACATATTACCAAACATTCTGAAAGATAAACATATACATTTCTTAACCCCCGGGAGGTGTACCGCTGGCTCACTAATCCACTCTGAATCCTGAGTCCCGGGCGGGGCAGTAAGAGTTGGGCGCGTTTTCTATCACCTAATGCCTCTGTTCACCTAACAGTAACATCATCAACAATGTCACCTTGAGGGAACATCAATATAAGCCTAACGAGTAAAATAAATAAAACAAGCAAATATATGTTGCAAGGGGGTAACACTTCTTGGGCAATTGTAGGGACATACAGCCTCGGAAAAGAAAATAAAGGGTATTCAGAAAAGGTCTTATGGATTCTCGCTGAACACTAATACTGTACTTCTCCTATCACCCCTACTTTTTTTTTAACTTTTATGTAATGATTTATTGATTTAATATCTGTATATATATTATAGGCGGTGCTGCCAATCACTGAGAAGCAGCCAAGTTTCTTAAATACAGAGATCTTGATCACCACTACAATTTTGTCCCCATTGCCTCAGACACACTCTTGGTGTCTGTGGTAAAAGTGCTCCTAGTTTTTTGAAGGAGATGGGTTCTAAGCAATTGAAACAACTAGAGACCCTAGAGCTGCCAGTTTCCTCTTTCAGCACCTTAGTGTGGTGATCCAGAGAGGAAATGCACAATGCATCCATGGTTCCTGCCCGCCATCTGAGTAGCTGGAGGAACTCAACAACCTGTGTCAAGCAGCCTTGTACCTTGCATATAACCATTGTTGTAACCCTTTTTTGATATTAAGTTTTAAATAAAATATAATGACAATACAAAAATATAGGGGAGGTAGGAAGGGAGGGGAACTATCAGGAGAAAGTGTCAAGCCATTATGACTATATAGCACTTGGAAGGGGGGTCAGGATAAGGATTTGGGATGGGACGGGGGGAAGGAATGGTGCTCCATCATTTGAACGCCGATGTACATGAAGCGAGACCGTCACTCTACCGTCCAGCCCAAGTGGTTGGGTAGAAGAAGACAATGTGTGTGTGTGTATGCAGGTGCCCCACAAGGCTCCCCTGGATGCTGCATATCATCTACTTTGAGGTCGAGGGTCCCTAGAAATGCAACCAGAGTTGGTACTCCCTATATTTATTTATTTATTTATATATATATATATATATATATATATATATATATATATATATATATATATATATATATATATATATATATATATATATATATATATATATATAATGGAAGGGAGTACCACCTCTAGCTGGAAGAAGGGGGACCCATAGCCTCGGAGGAAACCACGCATAACGCATTATATATATATATATATATATATATATATATATATATATATATATATATATATATATATATATATATATATATATATATATATATATACACACACACACACACACACACACACACTTTTTTTATACTGATGATAATGTTAAGCTACTAGAGAAGAGGAGAGATGACTGCCAGGCCCTTCGTGGCCCCACACAACCTACAAATTACCGGTACAGTATATTGAAAGGCATTAAAGAATGACAAAGAAAGGGATCTAGGGATGTTTCTAGATAGACAACCAGTCACCTGTGGACTACATAAAGGACATTGCATGAGGAGCATATGGTACACTTTCCAACTTTAGAATATCTTTTAAGTATAGTACATTACTGTACATGGATGGTGAACTACTGTGTAGCAGAGATCCCAAACTTTTTCATTTGTCAACCCATATGAGACTTATTGTGCTGCCATTGGCCTGAATCATACTGTATTCAGTGAATAGCAATTACCTGTATCATAAAAAATATGTTACTGGGAATGAAACATTGTATATTTATGCATGGGACCTTTATATATTATAAATATATGATGAATTATATACAGTATACGTATACCCAGCAAGAGTATACAGAACTGTATAAGCAAGACATAAAACAATAAAATTTAATGTGTTGAAAAAATGAGAGGAGAATACAGTACCTATTAATTTAAGAAGTTAACATTTTTATTAGATCAAGGTTTTTCATTGTATTACAGCAACAAAAGAAACACTTCTCTTTCCTTTAAGATGATATTTAAACTTTTGACCCCTAGAATTTTATAGATGCCCTGTCGACACCCTCATATTTATTGACTCCTGTACAGTTCCACCGACTACTTTGTGAGCCCCAAAACTAGAGACTTATACCTGTAATCTTCCATTTCCATCCAGCCCAATCGCTTGGGATGGACGGTAGAATGACGGTCTCGTTTCATGCAGGTCAGCGGTCAATCCCTGACCGTCCAAGTGGTTGGGCACCATTCCTTTCCTTTGTCCCATCCCAAATCTTTATCCTGATCCCTTCCAAGTGCTATATAGTGGTAATGGCTTGGTGCTTTCCCCCTGATAGTTCCTTTCCCTTCCACTCCTGGCTAGCAACTCGCCCCACAGCGGACAAAACACAGGCATAACCGTAAAGTGTACTGTACCAGTAGGCATAATTTTAATTAAGGTATTACATTCAAGACAGTAATGCTCTAGCAAGAAATTTCTAATTTTGACATTTACAACAATCTCTTTAAAGTAACCAATAATAATAACACCTGATACAGCTCAAAGGTTTATTATTAATGATAAAAGCTCATCAGAAACTTTAGACAGTTTAATATACAGTTTGGGAGATTTCACAATTTCAAGAGGAAAATTTACACTACAAACCTTGCTGAAGTGTTTTTGTGATATTGTATAACTTTCCTGTGAAGTATGATGAAGACTTATCACCCGACAAGCCTGGCCAACTGCTTTAAGGTACATGATGAACTCTTGATACCTATGATTGTCATAGATCGATGGAGTTCCTATTAGTTCATAGAACTGATGACCTATGAACTAATAGGAACTCCATCGATCTACGACAATATATACCAAACAAATGTCTTATATTTTCAGCATTTGCACACTTTTATATTGGATAATATAATAAGGTTCCTATATCTTTGGAACTTATGATAAATTAGGTTCGATTTAGCAGTGTGTATGTAGTATTTGGTTTACTTGCCACCAAACATTCCTCTCCATTTTCCACCCAAATATAACTAGATTTTTGTTTTATTTTGGGTATCTAATGACCACAACGACGGACGAGGCACTTGGCCCGGCTGCATATTCCATTAAACTCGAAAACTGTTGTAGCGAGTAGATTATCCCAATAATATACTCGCTCCAAATGCATTGTTAATATTCCTGTCAACCTTTGGAGATGAATGAGGTGAGGCGTTGCCCGGACAACACGGTGAGGCGTTGCCCGGGCATATAAGCAGCAATAGCAAACATTAACCAGAGTCTACTTTCAAGTGTGGTCTAGAGCAGACACTTGCGAGATACTGTACCGACGCTCAGTGCGCTCAACTCACACCAAAGTATCACCTGTGTACTTCTGTATATTCGACCAAATATATATATATAGTATCTTAGTGTGTATTAGTATCTGTGTTTATTTGTCACCATACTTTACGTAACAATAGAACCGTTACACTGTCTACTATGTTACGTTCCTCAGACTGCTACATTGTGCCCTTTATTATGTACCAATACTGTACCGATATGTGATGAAACTTGTCAATTTTTCTATACAAAATATATTAGTTATAAATAAAAGTTTGAATATAAAGAAATGATGAAATTGAGAGAGAATTCTGATGTGACGGGCAGTGCCTTCCGTCTCCTGGGAGTGACGGGCAGTGCCTTCCGTCTCCTGGGAGTGACGGGCAGTGCCTTCCGTCTCCTGGGAGTGACGGGCAGTGCCTTCCGTCTCCTGGGAGTGACGGGCAGTGCCTTCCGTCTCCTGGGAGTGACGGGCAGTGCCTTCCGTCTCCTGGGAGTGACGGGCAGTGCCTTCCGTCTCCTGGGAGTGACGGACAGTGCCTTCCGTCTCCTGGGAGTGACGGACAGTGCCTTCCGTCTCCTGGGAGTGACGGACAGTGCCTTCCGTCTCCTGAGAGTGACGGACAGTGCCTTCCGTCTCCTGGGAGTGACGGACAGTGCCTTCCGTCTCCTAGGAGTGACAGACAGTGCCTTCCGTCTCCTAGGAGTGACAGACAGTGCCTTCCGTCTCCTAGGAGTGACAGACAGTGCCTTCCGTCTCCTGGGAGTGACAGCAGCGACCCTCAACACCCGTCACAACGAGAAATAAATACAATAAATGAACGTGAGTGAGGAAGATATGAGAGAGTGCCACAGCGGAGAGAATATATATATATATATATATATATATATATATATATATATATATATATATATATATATATATATATATATATATATATATATATATATATATAAATATATATACACGTCCCCGAGCCCTGCCGGGTAGACCTAGCCCGCCCTAGCCTGCTAGGCACGACACGCACCTTAACGTACAGCTCCCGCACCGACATCCTGGGCCGACGGCACTGATCAATCCATTTAAACACGAAATATCCAGTAAGGAGGGAGGCCAAGGGGTGAGGTGTGATCACAGGTCGATAGCGGACTGCCACCACTTGACAGCTCTGACAACACACACTGAGGGAGCCGCCTGGCGGCCGCTCCCACAACCTCGCCCCACAACAACTCAAACCCGCCAAATTCAAACCTCTCGACACTTGCCATCTCTTTTAATTTAGCTATTTGTGTATTTATATATATGCAAGAAGGTATATTTGGGGTTATGAGGGTATATAGTATTGGTGATTTGACATTCTTGCATAGCTGCTAACACGAATAAACCATTTCGTTTTGGAAATTCCCCCCTTAATTTTATTAGTTTTATTTACTTTCACGCTAAAATAACTTTCTTTCATCCTAAATCTGTAAACAGGTTTCGAAACCCTGTGCTATACTTTCCCTTCATGTGTGAACTTGAAAAATCTCACTTATACCCTTCATCTTTTTTTTTCATATATAAAACTTGCCTTCTGATAAACTAACACACTTTAGGGTAATATGGTTCACACAGATCCTTCTACTGACACTCCTGCTGGTGTTTATTTTCTGTTCCTTTTGTCCTCTTCAATGCTTTGGTGAAAGTGACCTCACTGTTAATAGTAGACTCAAAGAATAAGAACTGTTGAACTTGCTGATACAAGCAATTTTTCTCTTGTCATATTAGGGACTCTCCTATAACTTGTTCTCCTTCAAAAATAACCTTTGACCTGCAAAAATATGCAGGTCAGCCACAATCTAGCTTTTACTACAGAATTGTACTAGTGAAGAATGTAATTTTAGAAGTGCTCATTTATTTGTACTCCAGGAGGGAAGGAGTGTGACAATACTTAAATATGAAATTTTCAAACTAAAAAGCTAAGCTAGTAAGGCCATACAGACCAATATGCATATCACACAAAACTAAGATCAGGACTTTGCTATATGTAATTTTCAGGTAACATAAATGCAATATCCATACTTTTTTCTTCATACAGTATTCAGATGGGTAACAATGGTTTTAGTGTAAGGTGATGAACATGTTTTCTAATACATATCACAGCCCAGGTTTTAATGTTTAAGAACTTATAACCGTGTTTGATTTTACAGATTAATACATGTTTACTGCATTGGAGACTTTCTTTACAGGTGTACAATATTTGTACTCTCAGTACTGTAATAAATAATAAGATGATCAACCTTTAGTGCCATCAAGTAATTATCAAAAGAAGGCACCAAGCCATAATGCTATCAAGTAACTGAACCTCGTGCTTCCTTAAGTGATTCTGCACAAAACCAGCACTTGAATAGTTACTCCATGTCTCTTATACCAAAGGATTTCATTGAGCAGCTTTCATCCTCTCTCAGCAATATGTAAAGCACCATTACTTTACACCTTCTTCAGCAGAAATAAACCAGCTTTTGTGGTGTTACTGCTTTTGAATATAAAGAAAAATGTTTACATCAGTTTTTGTACACAATAGTCAATAGACCAGCTATTTTTCCAGTTGGGTTCCAAATATCTATGCCTAGTCGACTTACCAAGCACTAGGGGTACCACCATTCAGTTAACATATCAGTAACTATAAAATTATGAATTTATATAAACAAATATGATCAAGGCATGCTTTCATTATCAAATGTCACTTTCATCGGCTTGACTGACACTTATCCATGTGATGAAGTTTGTTTTGTCAGGAAGGAGGGTTATATAGTGTATATATATATACAGTATTCGCCAATACCTGATGTTCTATACCAACACATAGTAACAATGCATCAGCAGAATGCTCACAGAATCTTCATACACTATACATAAAGAACTCCATAAGAACATCAGCAAAAATAAATGACAAAATAAAATGTTCACTGCTAATAAATTTCTTCATTAAGTCTGTTCAGCATCACTTCCCATTTTAATGTTAAAATGACATTACTTGGTATATTGCTTTTTTCCTTTCAAATCAAATGTCAGTAACTTGAAATAGTACATATAAATACAGCATTTTCAAAACATAGGTTGTGGATTCCTCAGAAATAATACAACTTTCTTTGTTTTCTGGTTTATTTGGTAAAAGAAGAAAATACCAATTTTTACAATATTTTCATATGTACAGATCTGTCAAAATATCCAAAGGCAACTGTCAAGACAATAAAGAGTGAATTACATCACAAAATTAGTCAAGGGCTCACATTCTACAGATATATAAATACAAGTTCAAAAATATTTCTTACAAATTCCCAGAGTTTAACATTAGGTAGTAAATAAATATGCATACCGTCCATTTATGATGCACAAACTGGTAAGGGGATGAATATTTGGACTGCTCATCACCGGTACACCATAAAATTCCCTTGACGTACTTTGTTGGTAATATATCACCTACCCTAGAAAACTTGAGATTTGAAGAGCACTGAAGTCTTAAAATTAGTTTTGATCCTGGGAACGGAGGGTTGAAAGTAGAGACGACCACTGTAACATAATATGACCTCCCTGCCTCTTTTTCTTTCCTGGATTAATTGAATCAAAAATTGAGGTCACATCTATAACTAGCAAAACAAAATTAATTTCTCACCCACAATAGTCTACCTAACTATTCCTACAAACTGTTGTTCCTTATGTTTCCCACCTGAGAGATGGACATCAACTTGTAACCAAACGTACAAAAGATTGGCAGAATAATCTTTAAGAACAAAGACAAACCAGTGATAGAGCCCACCACAACTAAAAATAAAGACTCATCACCACATGAAAATAAGCCATAAGAGAATTGCTTGTAATTAGCAAACTCCAACCTTAAAATCTTAATATCAACAATTAATATCATTATTTGGACTGTACGATGAATAGCATAATTTGTGTACCATGCTGAAAATGACAAAAAAAGGCACAATTTCCATTTACGTAACCTTCAAACATAACTAAGAGATTCTTGCATGCATAATTATCACATCAAAACCTCCTATGCAAGACCAACACATTTTGTGACCTAACACCTAATGAGTATTTGACATAATTATGATTCAGTTATAATATCAAACAGTCCAGTGTTCACCATTGTGAAAAAATACAAATTTAAGATTCAAATACAATTCTCAGCTTTGAGACCTGAGCATTTTTTTTGTAATTTCCCCATTCATCAGTGATCTAATTACATACATAATTGCAGCTGCTGGAAATGTGATTAAAAAACAAAAGGTAATAATATTAACAATAATACTAAAGCATCACATTATAATAGAACAAATAATTGGAAATAAGCAATGAAGAGTGGTACAATACAAAGGTGAAGGAGATGCTGTGTTTGGGAAAAAACTTCAATTTAGATTTTACAGATGAATGACAAATAATGAGAGAGAGCTTTTGACTACAAGAACCAACATAAGTGTGAGCAAAGAGCTGTAATAACCCCCACCACACACAAATACTTAAGAAAGATTGGGGCAAGAATAATGCTCAAATGAAGATGTCAGACGACAACAACAATAACAAAAGTAACACTTTTGAAAACAATGAATGTTTCGTTTATTTTTCAATCAACTCAATAATAAACTATTTCAATTTACCAAATTTCTGGCCACAGAGCAATATACAAATAACAAAGAATGCCACACTAAAATACTGCTTGCTATTTTAATAACATAATAAATAAAGTATTTTAAATTATTCCTCCTTTTACACAAGAAGGAATAATCTTAAACACTCAACCAAGATAAAGTACAAAAGAAAGGGCACCCTTTTTGTTACAGTACATTCATCTATTGTATCTTCATTTATATCTATTGTATCTTCATTTATACCAGTCTTGAGATTTCACATCAAAACCTGAAGGGATGAAATTTGTGATTAAATCACGAACGGGATAACTTTGAGAAATAAAGTGAATGACAAGATCCTGTCATGATATACAGGGGCAAGAGTGCCATCAGAGCTCATATCCTACTGAGACAGAACATAGTGTCTGCAGAGTGCCACAAGAGCTCATATACTACCAAGACAGAAGTATGTCTGCAGAGTGCCTTGAGATTCATATACTACTGAGACAGAAGTGTGTCTGCAGAGTGCCTCGAGTCATATACTACTGAGACAGAAGTGTCTGCAGAGTGCCTCGAGAGTCATATATTACCGAGATAGAAATGTGTCTGCAGAATGCCTCGAGAGTCATATACTACTGAGACAAAAGTGTGTCTGCAGAGTGCCTCGAGTCATATACTACCGAGACAGTAGTGTGTCTGCAGAGTGCCTCGAGTCATATATTACTGAGATAGAAATGTGCCTGCAGAATGCCTCGAGAGTCATATACTACTGAGACAGAAGTGTGTCTACAGAGTGCCTCGAGTCATATACTACTGAGACAGAAGAGAGTCTGCAGATGCCAATCACACTCAACCCTCCCACCAAGAAACTACCCAATTTAAATATATTAATTGTCTTTATCATTGTTAGCCTATTCACACATTCACAGGGTGAGGAGGCATGTGCCCAGAGAAGATAGAGCAATACAAGACGGGGAAAAGAATGTTCGAGACATACAAAATAAATCGTTAAAATATCCTGAGACACATTATAAATATCTTTTTCTAGGTGAATGTATTGTTTATAAAAGGTAAGGAGAATATTCTGGTGAAAGCATGGATGTTTGGATGATGCATGGAAACAAGAGCCAATTATTTAGTCAATGTAATGCTGACACAGTCTTCTGCAAAAATGAAAATTATAAACTGTGATGTTACATTCCATGAACAAAACACTTATCCAGCAGCTACATCATCTGGAATATATTATTTAAACATTGAAATTTCTTAACAACAAATGTGACAGTGGTAAGTGTCCTTAATGTACGCCCATTATTTCATTACCGTGATGACAGACACATTAGAGGTAGGTTACTATTGAAATGGGCAAGTCCTCAACCCCATATACAAGAAAATATAACCTTGAACACCTGCCGGTTATCTAATTGGCAACTCTCACACCAACAAAGATAAACATGCAAAACATTACATATACAATACACCCACATAACAATAATTAAATTAACTGGAGTATAAATAGGTCCTCAAACTAAAAAAATGCCTAATTTTAAAGTACTCTATTAATATCATCAATTATAAAAAGAAATTCAAAACAGGATACAATACACACAGTGCTGGTAACAACTTGTACCAGACAAAACACAACTCTTACACGTGCCGTTATGTCTCACAAATTCCCGACAGCATTTGTAGTCAGAATTTCTGGCAAAGTCCTTGTCAACTTTATATATCATTCATGGTTCAAATTACACAAGAACTTCCCTAAACCATTAAATCTAATTATTGAACTACACAGTCCCTTTGGCAATAATTTATCCATAAAGACAAAATGTACTGTTAAACAATATCCCCACAAACCAAGAGAACACTATCACAGGTTTATTCATAATTTCTTTGTCATATACTGTGTGCGCTTCTAATATTTAATGATAACTTGCAACTACAAGTCAAAACCCTATGACCTGATCAGTGATGAGTTTGCATCCAAAAATATTATAGTACTGCAGTTATTTGTCTACAATAACCTGAATATTAGCATCTCTAAGGCCTTGAATCAGCTCATTAATGCTTGTGGAGTGTCACAAAACATCCTTTAATATCAAATATTAAAGACGACTTCCGTCATGAACAAAAAATTATAAAAAGAAAGTACAGTACTTCCAATATCAAATATTAACAGCCAGAAATAATTTAAGCTGCAAAAACTGCCTATAAATGTCATTTGTATACATAACATTCTTCAGTAAGCATAAATTTATGTACAAAAACTTACATTCTACAAAAGTATAAAACCATATGGTCTTGATATCTTACATATTACACCAAGGGTTGGGGATCATGCAATGAAAAAATCACGGTTCTCTTCCATGTTTTGATAATGCTCTGACCCACCTTATGCCAGCTGGCCATATAAGTGTAATTTATTTCAGTCCTGAGGTAACTCCATCATTCACTGCTCCACTTGTCCCTTTTTTTTTTTTTTTTTTACATTTCCCAGTACCCCTCACTCGTTATTCATTACATTCCTCCTTCATAACATCAAGCAGAATCTTAAGTGTCTTTTCTTGTATTCCGGTAAACTATCTTCATGACAACTTAAAGCATCATTTCACAACTCGCCTTAATTTTATATTCTAAAATAAAATAAAATCTGAACTACTATATCCAAACCACACATTAGAAAATGAAGAAATGACGGTTTGGTCCGTCCTGAACCATTATCAAGTTTCACGACTTGATAATGGTCCATGACGGACCGAAACAACGTCATTTCCTCATTTTCTGATGTATGGTTTGAATATCACATCTTGTCACATTATTGTGACTCATGGTCTGTTGAACTACTGTATATTACAAACGATGGTTTAAATTGTTGCATGAAATAGTTTTACCCAAACAATACAATCACTAAACATATTCTACTACATTTGTCTCCTGGAAAACCCACATAAAATATCTTGTACACTAAAAAGTTTTGTAAGATAGATTATGGCATATGCAAAGCATTGGCCTACTACACTCAGTGTGAAAACAATAACTGAACAAAAAGGGAAAAAACAGTAACCAGTAAATGCACGAGTAAAACACAACAGAAATGGAGCGAATGAAAACATTAAGGACAAAAAAAAACATTTGCAACAGTATAATGTATAAAGCTTGTACCAAGTGTTGTCTAGGAAATGTATAAGAATTAATGTGTGCAATATGATATAATGTGTAGATGGAGTCATTTTATGAGGAAAAAATGCACAGTATTTTACTTAATATCACCTCATAGGTTAACCTTCATTACTGCATGTTCCTTTCATACCAACGGGTTCACCAGCATGTCTAACTTGGTAACAAAACATATACAGAAACATCATTTACATGAAAATCATTTTAAGGCAATGGAGTGACTTGAACCTGCAGTCTGGTGATTCCCAAACACCTGCCTTAACCGACTCGGTCATGATGGTACAAAAGTCGACCAACCTAAAACTCTACTGACTTCACAGGGAGGTTTTGGTGGCCCCAAACCAGAGCCCAACCAGAGTTTGCAGTTGTCCCAACCATACTCTGACCTACGGTAATGGCGTTCACAGACCACACTCAGACCACAAAAAAATCACAATGGCGTGATATATCAATGAAAATCATTTTCACCGATACATCAATGTAATTTTATGTAAATGTGATTTCTTTGAGATGTGATCTTTCTTTTTCCTCACCACCTTCAACTCTCCTAATTACAGGTAATATGAGAATACATTTGCAGTTATTTCATCTAGTTATTGTGTTTGTGTGTGTATTTTTGTGGTCTGAAATGGATTAATTAAATTTACATTATTCCTTAAGGGAAATTTTTTTCAGTACTCAAACAGCTTTCTGGAACCAATTAAGTTTGAGTACTGAGGTTCAACTGTATATATGTATACATTTATATACATATATACTGTGTATATATATGTATACATATATACACACAGGCTTCTTGCCCCCAAGAAAATGTATAACAACATAACATTAACTAAAGATGGTGTAAATACTGTACTTGTGTAAATCATATGAAATTGTGTAGAAGTATTCTTCAGCAAATATTAGAAGATGTGTGGCATTATACGGTTAAATACACGCCAAAATATATACGCCAAAGAACATCAGAAACATCAAAAATGGATAGATTTGTAGAAAAATGCATGTAAGAAACAGTATAGTACTCAGTGTATACAAAAGAATTCACAAAATGTATTAAAACAAAGGAAATATCTAAGAGTCCAAGATTAAGTCTACAAAGTTAAATAGAAAATTAAAACTTTTGTAAAAATAAGAAAAGTGCACAAGGGTGTTGCTAATAATTAACAAAACTTGAAACATACAAGTTGAATGTGAAGATACAGTAAGGCACATGACAAGGTGGTAGGGGAATGGATTAGACCGACTAAGGCTGTGCACTATACTACTAAGTTCATACAGAGGTTATACTGCTAGATCTACAGTATATAAAGTTGTAAAAGTAAGCATATTTTTAAGGCTATAAAAGTGACCTCAACAATAGTAGAAAGATATATGGTAATTATCATTAAATGGTAATTTAGGAAGTACTACAGTAAAGCAATTTAAATTTTCCACTGAGAATTTTTTGACAAATGATGCATTACAGGTGTGCATGAACTTACTGATCAAGTACAGGATTGTGTTAATAGAGAAGTTGTGTGTACAGTAATTGGGTGAAAATACTCTTTGAAAATACTAGGACTGGTTCCAAACCTGCACACAGAAATAACACCACATGAGATCAGAAGGCATGACAAGAGTGCAAAATAGCCTCACAGAAAAGCAAAAGTGCAATAGGCACACTGAGAAAGAGAACTCGATCAACCTCAAAGACCCAACACATTTTCCCTACACCCATGGGGCATAATTGGCCGACCTTTCTCGATGTTCAAAATAGAAGTCAGCAAGGCCCTTCAAAGGATGCCTGATCAACCAGGCTGTGACTCAAGTCAGGCTGCAAGCAGCCACATCAAACGGCCTTGGTCATCAGAGCCTGGTTCATCAGACCAGCAACCAGAAAGCCTGGTCAAGGCGAAGGCATCCCCGCGGCCAGGCCACGGGGATGCTGATCTTTGATATCAACAGGTAGTCAATAGGTAGGTAGACAAAGATTGATGTTTTAATTGAATAAAATAATTTGAGTGCTCTGAATGGTAAAGTAGTGGATTTGTAAATTATTACATGTTGAATTATCTAGTTGACAAACTTATAAAATGTAATTTGCACAATTATTACAAAATTATGAAATAAAATAAAATCAAGTGGCTGCATTTACACACATGGAAGGGAAAACCTTGCTGGGTCTTAATAGAGGATAATTGTGAAAGTCATGAGAAATCTAGTTGAAACATGCATTAAGGAGTCTTTTGAGAAGTATAGCATCTGCAGATTCTTGAGAGTAAACAGACTGGAAAATTAGAAGACAGTGTTCAGAATTTATGTAAGATGACCAAAGCATACATCAGAAGATTGAGAAACGACGACGTTTTTGTTTGTCCTGGACCATTATCAAATTATATGATCTTGATAATGGTCCAGGATGGACCGAAACATCATTTCTCTGTCTTCTGACGTAGTTTGGTCATCATCATATCTTCAGCCACATTATTGTGGACTTTTAGTGTGTTACTTATTTAAGAGTTCATCAAGGAAAGGTCGTGCAAACATAAAGATGGAGGAAGTCAGACAGATGAATAAAGTTAAAATACAGAGAACCGTTGTTACGTACCATGGAGCGCTTAAGTAATGTTCATTAAAAAATAAAAGGCAAATCAATGAAGAAATTTGAATCTTGCCAAGCCAGAGCTGTGTGATTTAACATTAGCCTCTATGTAGACCAGATCACACACTAGAAGGTGAGGGGACGACGACGTTTTGGTCCGTCCTGGACTATTCTCACAATCGACTTGAGAATGGTCCAGGACGGACCGAAACGTTTGTCATCCTTTCACCTTCTAGTGTGTGATCTGGTCTACATATTTTAGCCATGTTATTGTGATTCATCGCCTGCATTAGCCTCTATGTTGTGAAGTATGACAGATACTCAATGATAAACAGTTTGAATGCCAAATAATAACAATTATACAAAATATTTTTGTCAATGAATATCAGTTCTAAACTAATTAAGCATATAGCAAAAACAATTAAGCTTAAGCATATGTAATATTTATAATATCATATGACAAATCAGAGTCATGAATAATTACACAATGGTTGTTAAGTGGTTACATTTTTAAGATGCATACAAAAACCGTTTGCCAATTTTAAAAATTTTAAGCTACAATAATATATTTGACTTATTTGGCACCAAAAGCATAAAAAAAGTATAAAATAGTAATCCAAATACAGTATAGACATTTCAATACATAATCTGGAAAATCCTTCTGGACAAACATCCATACAAAATTTGTTTGTCATTTCTGGTGGTTCTTTAAGCAGCAAGTTAGTTTCAGTAAAGGTATGACTCAAGAGCAGTATGTAAAGTGCTTGTGATAATAGAAGCCTACTGAAGGTAAACACTTTAGTTACCAATATTGATCTTCTTGGTTCCCTATACAACGAGAACTCTAGTAGGTAGCAGATAAGGTGTTGTTCTTGGCTTGATTCACCCTATTTCTTACATGAAAAGGAGAATAGTGAGAGAACACAGATATCTATGAAAATACACACACACACAAGTAGAACCACCTATTACCACATTCTTCAATAAGCAAGTTCCTTCAGGTACATCAACTTATAAATCTCTGGTATATCATGCCATATTTCCAGCCATTTCATTCACACATCTACATGTATTTCAACCAATCATACAATGTGCATGCACATGCTTTAGTGAGAGATGAAAGAGTAGGCACTGAGAAGTAAACACGGATATTTTCATTTTTGTGTGAAAATGCAGTGGTAAACACCACATTAACCAAACCCAACTCATAATGTAATCCCTTAGTGTTCTAAACTGTCGTACTGCGATGTATAATCCCAGGACTGCTTTCCTTCTAAAAGTGCATTTCTCTAACAAATAATTTACACTTATGACTTGCTTTGTGCATGTAAATTTGCAAGACAAAAAGCTATAAATAAACAAATTATATAAATATATGATCAGACATAACTACCATGATGAGTATTTGTTCCACACCTTGTCCAAGCATTAAACAACACAACAGAACAAAATAAGGTATTCCTTCCAAACAAATCTCTCGCCGAGCCATTTTAGCGAATAAAATTGCGATGCTTGTGGAGACTTTACATATTATTTTTATAATTAAAAATATATGCCTATAAATCGAGAAGTGAAATATAAATTATGCAACTGCATGGAACTTAAACATAGAAGAAATATGATTTTAAAGCATACAATTTAAGTAGATAGAGGATAACATGTTGAGCATTACCCCAGACACAAGCATACTTCTATCACATGGAAACAGAGAGAAGTGCCATAATCCATGCAACATATAAGTTTTTGACTGATATAATGGATGTTCAGACACATTTTGCACCTAGTACTGTATACTGTTATAGTTCAGAACAACACGCTAATGTATAATTAAAGAATATAAAAAACGAATATTTTGATGATAAGCCATTAACAAGATCCCTAAGAACAATGCTTCTGCATATTATATTTGACACAGTCTGTGGACTGACCTCACTCCATGGTCTTCTGACATCACACAACCGATACATCAATTTACCATAAGTATGTTGACCAGACCACACACTAGAAGGTGAAGGGACGACGACGTTTCGACTTGAGAATGGTCCAGGACGGACCGAAACGTCGTCGTCCCTTCACCTTCTAGTGTGTGGTCTGGTCAACATACTTTAGCCACGTTATTGTGACTCATCACCTGCTTACCACAAGTAATTATTGTTTTGTTTTTGGCAAAGTTAATTGTACTAAAATACTGCACAATACCAGAACTGTTAACACTAAATACAGAGAATTATAAAAGACAGCAAAATGTGTTTTACACATCAGATCATCTCTGATTACATTCCAAACAAAAAACAATAACAGCTAGGAAACTCATATGAATGGATTAAAGCAACTATGAAAAATCATATAGCAACTATGAAAATCAAAGCAGAATTTCCGTTACCAAATGCTGTTAATGTCCTCCTCACTTGAGCAGACAAAGGTCAGTGTGTTTGTGATGGCAGCATAAGTCAAGATTTCCACACACATAATATACACATACAGTATAGCTAGAGCTAATAATTGATTAAATTCATTATTAAACATGGGACCCCAAATAAATTTGCTTATACCAAGTCTTTCCATCAAAATTAATTTGTAAACAGTACACACACAAAGTATCACATATACAGATTTGGATGAAAATTTTCATAAATAATATGTCTCAGTTATTGTAGCTGACACATTTTTAAAGCATTTCAAATACACCTAATAATGTTTAAATGATGCTTGATTTGTCCATGAGCTTAGATAATACAGATCTTAAAGCAATACCTACTGTGTCTAATCTTAAAAATAATGAGCTGATGTCTGTTCTTCACTTGGGAGAAAGAGACAGCATCCAATAAAATGCTAACATGCAAAATCAGCATATATTAAATAACTTATATTAATTTCTTTATCATTACTCAATGTGAACTTGAGCATTCATCTGTATTAACTGTTTAAACGAGCAGTATATCAAGACTGACTCCCCTGAGTTTGCCTAACACTTTAAAGAGGAATTTCCTCTATTACAGAACCGAGATACATTTTGGTAGCTAAACATTCCTCGCCATCCATTTATTAAAGAAATAAGACCACAATATTAATAATAAAAAAAACATAATGCCTGTTCCACAGAACAGGAAGGATCAGGACCATTTCTCCCTCTCACTTATCAAGAAAGTGAGAAATTAAATTCCTTCCTTCATCGTGGTCTTGAGATAAAGGCGGGGGAGGGGGTGGTGAAGGTGGTGTTGAGAGTGGTAGTGGATGAGGAGAGTGACTGGGAGGAGTTTGGGTTCCTCCTGGGTCTTGAGGGCTGTTCTCCCTCGACAGACCCATAACGGCGGGTTCGGCAATCTTGGATTCCTGATCCCGTATCGTTACTGGTATCTTCAGAAGCGGAGGCGGAGGTGGACGAGATTCAATTCCCTGATCTGAAGAGCTCTGCAGATCGAGTAAAGTCTTACATATAGTTTTATATACAGTACATATATGCAATGTAAAAATATATACTGTAAAATCAAATTGTATAATACATATACAGGTACAGTATATACAGTGTCAACAAAACATCAACAAAATAAAATCAATGCAATAATGGATATAGCTAATGTTTCCAATGATTTAAACATTATACTGACATACCTATTCCTGTGAAAAATTACTTGGTAAATTTTGGGATTGCATGATAATCATATTACTGTATATCAGACCCCACAAAAAGCAGTAAGTTCTTGCCCGCTGAGATAACTTAAATTTTTTCTTAATAAAAATAAATGTCAAATGTACCTGAGTAAACATGCATGTTTGCACAGGTAAAACATGCCCACACATTGTGGGCTCTGTTTAACTAACCTGTCCTCTTAAAAATAATGTCGCTTTTGGCAGTTTACCAGTATGGCCAAAAGTGGACGTAATTTGAAAATTAAAAAAAAATGAAAATAAATTTAGGATTTTTTTTCAACAACAGTAAGTTAAGGGTCCTCTGGTAGGTTAGGTGGGCAGGAAATTCTCATAAAGTTTCAAAACGTTATGAAAAACGTTAATTGAAAGTTTCCGCTCCCAACCTTACCGAGTAAGCCGGACGACTCAACAGAAAACGGGACAGTACACCACTTTCGTGAGTCAATTTCATTTCAAATTACGTCCAAATTTGGCCATAGCGCGCATACGAGCAAAAAGCGACGTTATTTTTAAGAGGACGGGTTGGTTTAACAGCCTTTACAAGTTATAATTTCTGAGGCGAGACCAAAGAGCCAGAGCTCAACCCCCCGCAAGTACAACTAGGTGAGGACACACACACACTTTGATTCCCTGCCCCCCACTGTCTCTGCTGACCTTATTTGTAATGGGAGGCGTTGCTCTCTGGGCTGCTAGAGCTTCAGACTGTTGTGCCTTGGCCTTAGCCAAAAGTGAGTTAAGTGTTAGTGCTGCATTCAGAACAGCTAAGCCATCTTGTGGGTCTGTCTCTGGTACATGTTCTTTGTCTTGAGATGAATCTGAAACAAACAAATTTGGATTATATAGTTCAGTTTATAATATCCAAAGTCACTATTCAATAAAAATAAAACTGTCCCTCTGTATTTTGCTTATTATTATGAGCCTCCTTAAAACTGGTATATGTACAGTATACTGTATCTTTCACCAATATACTGCTCCTTCCTTTCTCCCTAACACGCGATAATGGTCCAAGATGGATACGAAACGTCACGGTTTCTTCATCTTCTGAGGCGTGGTTCGGTCATCACAGTATACTGTACTTATTGCATAAGATTATATTGCAACTTTTTCATCCATAAACAGTGACTACTAAATATTAAGTTCTTTCATCAATAACTATGGTGAGCTTTTTGGAACGCAGAAAGCTCACCATTTGTGCCGGTGTCAACACTCGTGAAATACTCTTAGAAATATAATTCACTGTTGTACTTCCTATATAATGTGAAAACTGACTTTGTCCAGTGTGATCCATTAAAGAGAAACAGCCAACAAATATTCAATGTTTATATGTTCAATACTCTGAGCTGTCCATTTTATTTTAAAGCTCTTTAACAAGTATATTATAACCTATCCCTCCCTACATGAGTTCATATCACTTGAATACTATCAATAAGTCAGTCATGACTTGGATTTCATAAATTATAAATAACATTTGTATCTTAGAAAGGTTTTTTGTTGGTGTGAAAAATAATATGTAGAGTACCACTGAGGAAAGCATCTGGATTAATGTAGAGGAGCTTGAATAATCTGCGCTAATCTTTGGATAAATTGTATTTGCAGAAGATGATTAAGCCCCCCCCCCTCACCCCCTGCATCCAACACTGTGCTTTACAAACTTTTTAAAGGTAAATTTATGTATGATTGCATCTCCCAAGCATTTTCTACATTAATCCAGATGCTATCCTCAGTGGTACTGTAAATATTATTTTTCACACCGACTTCATTATGTGATGAATTTGTGAATGGAAATGGGAGAAGTATTAAATAGTAATGATTAGATATAAGTTTTGCTGAGTAAATGTTGAATGTAATGAAATACCACTTTCTGGTAGAGCCCTGGTGGCTCCGGTGTAGCTATCTCACTGAGATTACTCCAGTGCAGTTGCATGAGTTCATCTGGCCTATTAAGGACCAAAGCCAAAACCTGTCCCCCACCTCACATGAGGAAATGACATTCCGCCATTTCACTGGGAAACCATCCAGAAAGTCAGCGAAGCTTTACAGACAACTACTGGGTTCACAAGCCTCACAACCATTAAAATGCCAAAATAATTCCCAAACAAAACATAATAAGCAAAAGAAAACCACACACAACTATCTAGAACCCAAAAGTACCAAATGCTGCCTGGAGCTCAGTCCAGTGGCAGATATCAGATCAGGAGCAGATAAAGACTGTCACAAACTGACAAACACGGTAGAAAGGGAGGGAGACAGGTGCCCACCAGTCTGCTACCAGAAAGAGGTGTTTCATTACATTCAATACTGGGTATCCGGGGAAGCCCTGTAGCCAAATGACCACAGAAAAATTCAGAAGAACTCATCAGAGTGGAGGAGAGGCAGAAGGCACTAAGTCAAAGTAGAGACCAATGCCGGGAAAACGGCCCAGGACAACACAGGACTGAAGAGGACCAGGGATTGATTGTTGTTTGTTGCCGTTGGAGGTGGCTAGTTTATTGTGCACCCCATATTCATCCTGTGAGCGGTAGCACAAAAAGGATTACAGGACCAGGGTCATTGATTAAATAACTGGCCGCCATGACCCTGTTAGTCCGCCAAAACCTCTGAGCTTGAATATCTGGCCAAAAATATCAGAGAAGACCGTTGTGAGTGAAGCATATTTGTGAACATCATGGGCCCCAGGGATTGACTGCAGGTTGGCTAGCCTTTATGAAACTGCAGACAAGATGAGAAATAAGAGTCTTAGAACAGGGGGACCAATGAATCTGAATCAACCCAAAAAGTGTCCACTGAAGGCAGCTGAAGCAGTGGCATGCAGGTAGCAACGAATTGCCGCCACTGGACACCACAAATGATGCACCTGACTGAATCAACCAAGCATCAATAACCAAAGGACCTTCCAGAAGCCCACGAACTCGTTTTTCAATATAAAAGGAGGAAACAGTTACAAAGACAATGGCCACCAGGGCCAAAAACCCGATAACTAGAGACAAAAGCCAGCAAAAAACGGCTCCACATCCTCATGGAGTTGATCAGATCAACCCTGGTCAACCCATAGCAAAGGTGATGAACTGCCTTCACACTTGCAATTGGCGAGAGCTGGCACTGGGTTGCTCGCTAAAGAAAATGGTAACCACCAGCAGCCTTCTCCCTGTGCTGCAAAATAGCACCCACAGCATGCTGTATAAACAAGGCTTGAGAGTCCCTAGTGATCCCACACAATATATATATTGTGTGGGATTGTCTATACACACATTGTATATACATACATTGTCTAGATATTGTGTTGGGACACTATACACGCACAAAATATGAAATGGAGAATTCTGAGAACAAAAATTACAAATACACCTTCAATTACTGTATATGATGGAAATCTATGGAGAAATGCATATCTATAGCTATACTAATGTACATAAAATATTTAGATATATGACAGACTAGTGAAATAGATATAAAATACATCATTAAGTAAGGATTATCTGCAATGTATAAACTGCCTATGAGACATGTACAATACCTCCCAAACATATTTCCAATTATAATACAATAGACACCAGTTAATTCAATGTATCCACAGTTTACGAACCTCCTTATACCTGATCAGCGAATTTATATCTATATAATGTATTTGTTATTTATTACTTACCTGCAAAAACAAAATTGTTTATCAGTACAACATAATGAATGTACACAACTGGAGTGGCAAATGCTCAGGGCTTCAGGTGAGAATGTATCTGACAAGTCAATCCTTTATTTTATAAATTCACACACAGTATTGTTTTAATTATTAGTGCTTGTGTATCCCTGCAAGGTGGTCGACAATCCACATCTTTGTAAATACTAGTACTGCTCAAGATATGTTATAAAACCTTGCAAGAGCATACAAAAATGAAGCCAAGCTAAGAATGTGTTAATAAAGGTGTCAGCTCTGGTGAGAGGACAGTGAGGGAAAATTATCACGGGAAAGTGCCAAGCCATTAAAACTATGGCTCGGAAGTGGTCACGATAAGGATTTGAGATGGGATCGGGGGGTGGGAAGGAATGGTGGCCAACCACTTGGACGGTTGGGATTGAACGCCAACCTGCATGAAGCGAGACCGTCGCTCTACCGTCCAGCCCAAGTGGTTGGGAGAGAGGACAGTGAGGAAGCACTAGTATTAGGAGATGGACTCAACCCAGGTAATTTGTAATGAAGACCAATGAAAATACAAAGGATCAATACAGAATAATAAATAAATTCCCTGATTACCCCCAGGTACCTATCTTGAGGTTATCTTGAGATAATTTTGGGGCTTTAGTGTCCCCGCGGCCCGGTCCTCGACCAGGCCTCCACCCCCAGGAAACAGCCCGTGACAGCTGACTAACACCCAAGTACCTATTTTACTGCTAGGTAACAGGGGCATAGAGTGAAAGAAACTCTGCCCATTGTTTCTTGCCGGCACCCGAAATCGAACCTGGGACCGCAGGATCACAAGTCCAGCGTGCTGTCCACTCAGCCGACCGGCTCCCTTACCTACACCACAGGTATTTTAAATAACACTAGATCTTGAATGATGAGAGTTAGTTGCAGCAAGTTTTGAAACCAATGCTTATTGCAACATATATCATTTGGCGAGAATGAGAATTATATTTGACGTCTCTTTTCTGCAGATGGGAACAGGGCAGGAGATCCAAGGCACATTTCTGTTTTGTCCTCTTAAGTTCTTAACAAATGTACTCCACAGTCGGTTAATTCACGGTAGGTGCAAGACCTATCACTGTGAATTAAAAGGTGTCTACTGTACTTACCACTAACACACTGCTCTTGCTGTTCAAACGTACCACTCTCTGCTTCCTTTTTCTTTTTGGGTTTAGGATGCCTTCTGCGTGTCATGGGTGCTGTTCGGAAAAGGTGGCTGGGTCGGTTGATGCCATGCAGTTTGAAGTAGAGACCGCAGGCATTGCAAACAATTTCGCCTGTCAGAAGACAAACATCTCTGGTAGTCAATAGGTCCCCAATGTTGTTATTTCATATTCCACAAGCATTATGAATGCCTTACCTTATTCCCCCTTCCATCCATTTTCTTTATTATTTTAAAACTAAAATTTGTATTTGCATCACACTACAGTAAAAAAAAATAAGTATTTCAATACACTCATTATATTTCCCCCACTTTACTGCATCATGACAATCTGCCTAATAATTACTACCTTTCCAAATGCTGTAGTTTAGATTACCCAAACCCACTTTAGCCATCACATTCAGTTACTTCCATAGGCAAGTATATGTTGTCATTAGATCAGATTCATACGTAGTAAGCAAGAAGACATTTTGGCACCGGCACCACAGGAATCTCTTCATGCAATCCTGCAGGATTGTAGAAAAGAAACAATTGGCACACTGTTTACTTGCTTGCCTGGCCATGCCATCAAATTACCACTAGATGGCAGCAGCATGCATCAATTACCACATTATATAATTGAATCTTAGGGAAAAATAAGTTTCAATTTACACAGTATAATTAAAATCCCGATTTGTAGGTTTTTATTCCGAGACATTAAAAAGGGATTACAGTATACATGCACAAAGTGTGCATTGTTGAGTCTGTCTCTCCAAGCCATCTCTCTCAGTTTATTCCAAAAGGTGCACAGCAGTGGGTTCACTCTTAATTCAAGAGTTTATACCACTTCATTTACAGACTTTCAAGAGCACTGTGTAGCAAAATAGGTGATTATTGCTGTGCCAAAAAGTTTTCTCACCTTGTATGTGTTGGTGGTTCCTTCTGTGTATTACCCACAAGCACTGTGGCAGTGTGAAGTTAGTGCATCAACAACATAGCAAATACTTAACACAGGAAGTAACCAAAAGTGATAGTTAAGGAAGGTGCTTTTCATATTGAATCAAATGTTGTATTTCTTTTCAGGTTCTTAATCCACAATTCTGCCCCCTTCATTAAACTACTTTCCTGCTGCAATAGCATACTAAATATACCTAGATTTTTTTTAATAAACAATAGAGTAACCTGTAATTTTTCTGGTCTTATAATATTCTTACCCTTATCATTACGTCGCCAAAGTTTGGTGTTGTTGGTGCCACAATTTGCACACATGGCATACGGCATCAGCTTTGGAGACATTGTTGCCTGGTTCTGCAATAATAATAAAAAAAATTATTTAAAATCTTATATTTATAACAATTAAGAATTGTCTATCAGAAATTCTAGTGTGATATTAGTACTATTAATCTATCATTTTTTGCCTCTGCCTTATTCCCCTCCTTTATGGAGTGATGCTTTATGGATCTCTGATGTTTTTAGTATATCAGGGATAATGCTAGTATCTAGGCTTGGTCTTCAAAGAATGATAAGGGCTTGCAATTGTGGCTTTTTACAATTCTTGATGAATATGGAGTTTCAAGAATCAGGGCCTGGTGTGGAGTGCATAGGCATACTGTCTACGGCTACTTCAAAATCAGGAGGGGGTTAGGGTGACATCTAAATTATGATTTGATGTTGGTATTATATTCATGAAGAATTTGTTTGGGTTATCAATCTTCAGCATGTTTAGGGACTCGTTGAAAATGGAAAAATACTGTTGCTTCAGTATTTTACTCGTATCTTTGTTGTCATCTGTTAAAGTTCCAACCCCCCCCCCTCCTCCTTGCACAAGGGCCCAATGCTGGATGTAGTTTTTGTTCTAGATTTTACAAAGGAGAAAAAGTATTTTGGATTCCTCTTTATTTCACTTATGACCTTTTACTCTCTTTGCCTCTCCTTGATAATTGATATCTTAACCCACAAGAATTATTGCTATACCAATCCACAAGAATTATTGCTATCCGAACTACGTATCATTCATCTTTATGTCCTGCTGCTTAGTGCTACATATGGATAGCAAATTGTCAAAATTTATAAGTATTGAAATATACACAGTACTGTAAACTTAATACTGAACCTTACCGGAGATAATCCTTTTTTGTTCAGTCCAACGAGATGATTTAGGCCCAAATCCTGAAATTTTTAAAAATTGTATAAAAACCACAGACAAAAAGGAAACAAATTCTAATTATCATACAGGATTAAACATTATTATGTAAACATGCCTCTTACCTTTATCAAAATAAACAAACTTTGCAACTTAAAAAATATTGACTGTTTCCATACTCATTAAAAACTTGTAACTAATTTGAAATTTAAAATACTGTGCAATACTTAACACTTTATATGGTTTTTAAAGTAATTATCAAAAGAAGATATCAAGCCAAAGGAGACAGTTTTCTGTAAATTTGAGAAGTTTTCTTATTTAATAAATAGTTTGTACACGTTTATATTCAAAACAGTATTAACTAGGAATGCTTCCAATGTAAAAATATACCAAATAATAACAATTTAATTTTGTACTTGCCCTTTGATGATCAGATTAATTTGGTTAACTACCCGTTCCAACTCATTGAAATTTAACTCATTGACTATTTTGTCTCAGATTTTTGGTCAAAGTTCTCTCCTTGCAAGGAATTCTAAAATAAATAATTTGCTTTAAAAACTATACAGTGCCAGTGATGACATCGCTCAGAAAACCCAGTATTGATAACTTTACTACATCAATTAGCCTCTTGTCTATGTTGTATCGACTCCTTTTCCCCCTATCTTGTCTAGTTAAACTACTCTTACTGGTAAACATCTTGTTATATTAACATGCAGATGCAAAGTGAACCTGTGAATGTTTGTGTACATGTACACTCACACATGCACGAGTGCTTACCTAACAATGACTACTAATTATGGAGTCTAACGCCATATAAGCTGCCTACTAACCTTTTTGTACTCTATATATACCTATTAACTCCCCTGATGTTTGAGTTATAAATTTTATCTCAAGATGATTTCGGGGCTTTAGTGTCCCCGTGGCCCGGTCCTCAACCAGGCCTCCACCCCCAGGAAGCAGCCCGTGACAGCTGACTAACACCCAGGTACCTATTTTACTGCTAGGTAACAGGGGCATAGGGTGAAAGAAACTCTGCCCCTTGTTTCTCGCCGGTGCCCGGGATTGAACCCGGGACCACAGGATCACAAGTCCAGTGTGCTGTCAAATTGTATTTGAACTTGAAAGTTGTGACTGGAGGACGGTTCCACAACATCCATTTTTAGCGCATTCTAAATATTGGGAAGGTTCGAGCCTATCCTTAATGTCTCTTATTGCATCTGGCCTTTGGTAGTGTCATATCCTAATATTAGGAATAATTACAGAGGATACAGGATCATCATAAAAACACTTCAGGTGATGAAACAATGTACTCTTGCAAATTTATTAGTTTACATTTCATATCTACAGACCTCTCAGAAAATATATGTCTTTAAGTCATGATGACATTACCACCAAGAACTGCTAAGACTCTTCTCCATTCATCTACAATATAAACAAAAACTTAAAACAAATATTCAGGAAAATGCAAAGCTTAAATACTGTACTGTGTCCATGTGGTACGTGATCGTAAAAATACTGAAGCACATCACTCCAGTTTATGGCGGCAGTGCTCTGATATACCACACATGATTACATTTTGTAATGAAGGGTTAAATAGCAGCATTTGAAATTAGCAGTACCAAGCAGTAATTATGTATCTAAGCATTTACCATTTGCTTCCTGCGATAAGAGTTGGTAGGAAAATGTTATGATGAAACTGTTTTTGTCAACAAACACATTTTGTCGTGTCATTAAACTGCAGTTTGAAGACAAACATTAATTACCAGTTTTACATCATATAGGTTGTCGAGTAATTATTGATCAACTAGGTTCTGGGACCATACATACATTTACATAGTTACAATATGGGGAGTGATTTTGCTAGAGTTTTAATCTAATTAATAAGTTAATGTTGACCAGACCACACACTAGAAAGTGAAGGAACGACGACGTTTCAGTCTGTCCTGGACCAATCGGTTAATATTTAGTACCAAAATGACATTTTCATCGTGCCAAGTGCCCCATATACCAAATATAAGGTTTACAGTCATGCTAACTATGCTGTATGATCTACTTTAGACAATTAAGGGAAGTATGCTCCTAGTGTACAAGTTGTGTGTGTGTGCAGATATATGCATGCTTAAATCTAATGTCAAACAGTACAAAATTATCCATCGTAACTGGTTAGAGCACAAATACAGTACAGCGAAACATTAGCAATTATCCCTCCCAAGTCTTCCGATGATCAGTGTGTTCTTTTCTCAAGACACTCGAGTGAAAGGTCTATAAGAAGAGAAGCGAGTGTTCAGATGCCATGAAAACAAAATTTTCTCTTTGCATTTCATACAAGGAGAAAATAGCCCAGATAGTTTTTATACCTGGACAATATAAACCCTAGTCCAGGACGTGTGCTGCACATCTGTACCGCACACAAAATGAATATTTTACCAAAGATATTTCTTACATAAATAACATGGAGACACTTACAACACCTGAGATTAATGCAGAATTAAAAATTACATTTTATAAGGCAAGACAGGCTAATATTCCATTGAAGAATGGAATGCCTCCTGCCCTGTCGAGCTAGAGGGATAGATACGAGAAGGATAAAGAATAAAAAGATTAAAGTACATATACAGTACAGAAAAGATGGGATAGGAAGATAATGACAAAGAAACATCTACAGAACTGGGGAATAGGTTTTGAGTTTTTAATGTTACCTCCATGCAAACTTTACTAAATGGCCAAGTAAAGAAGAGCCAGGTATTTCTACTTCTGCTCCTTATCACTGTTAAAAAATTAAACTTTCAATGCATATTTACATTTGGTATTGAAACAAAAACCTTTGAAACCATTACATCATGCTATAATTAACAACAATCACAAGTACTGTACATTTCATGCATAATGCTCTAGGAAATAAACCCAGTATATATGTAATCAAGTATATATGTAATTAAATGTAATATATGTAATCTGTATATGTAATCAAATTATAATTTTACAGTTAATATTACATGTGTTTTTGTTTTGCAAGTTAATTTAGTTTTTCTTTAAAAATAAAAGCAGCATTTATTGTATTATATTATAAAAAAGTAACATTGATACTATGCACTGTATAACAATTTATATGAATTACATTAAATGCTGCTATAAATTGTACAGTTAAACACACACATGCAAGTACAGATCAGCAGGTGTGAACGGACATTAATGAGCAAGTCAACTTGCAAATAATCAGAAACACAAAACTTTCTGCTAGTAGCTCTTACATGAAATTCAATCTATTATAGCCATGGAATCATGCAGACTAATCACCAGACAAATCATTTAATAATCATGCAAGGTCAAGCCTACAATTTGTTTAGGCCTACCATAGCTTGCTGGCTGGCACTAGGCAATGCTTCGTGGTTCCCTGGCTCCGGGGACTGTCTCAGCTGACCGGTGTTTTCCCATGCTTGACCACCACTCTGCTGAAAGTCAATAACAGTATATTTACAACCAAGAATAAACTGTCATCCACTGAACAAATCCACAAGCGCCGTGATGAACCTACGTCCGAAAGGATCCCAGACGTAGGTTCGAACCCTCATTGTGGATTTGTTCATTTGATGCATCATGCTATTGTGATTTCTGTGTGTAAACTATTGTCTACTCTACATGATAGCAATCAATTTGCAACTCAAAAATAAACAGTAGAATTACTTTGTTTCTCATTGTCACGAGGTGAGGATGCATCAACATTGAGGTAAACACTACATTACTGTTGGAGCAGCCCGTCCTCCTAACAGAACGTCGCATTTTGACTCGTACTTTACCCAAGGCCATAAATCGTCGTACAAGAAAATGGTAGTGGCTCGCAAAATTGCCATTCTGTTCCCTTTTCTGTTTTGGGTCCTCTAGTAGGCTAGCAGAGAGAACTTTAGTACGACATCTTGAGGTTATCTTAAGATGATTTCGGGGCTTTAGTGTCCCCTTTTAGTGTGCTAAAAATCATAGCCGTTTGGAAAAATTATATCACCATTTTCTATTCATGGGTCCTTGGTTAGGTTCAGGCCATTTAATACATCAGTTTAGTGACATAAATGCTCGAGAGTACGGGCCAGAGAAACTAGCCTTGGTGAAATTCACTTACCACAGAGAATGACCCCACACGAAACAGTCCGAGCGGTAGGACGGGTGTTGTGTGTGTAAGCCCACTACTCGATACAACTGGGTTTAGCCCTGGAGGTGGCGGGTAAAATGACGATATTCTTCTATACATGAGCCGATTTTCTGACTCGTGATCTGGGTCTGGATCCTCCCAACTGTTTTCTTCGTCTGCTATTGGATCATCAGGTCCTAAGTGTACTGGTAACAGCTCCTCTTTCACCTCTTCTTTTATTTCCGTCTGAAAGTAAATAAGAGAGCTTGAGATTGTTTAAGCTTCATCTACAGTGATGGCTATACGATAATTAAATGACAGTTTATTTCTGGGAACACAAAGTCCTAACTTTATCGTGTGGGTCAACATTTCCTCATGCATTATTTGCTGTTTGGGTTAGTTTAGCTCTAAGAAGTTACTGTAAATAGAAAACAATCATGTTATTAAAAATGATATTTAATCACAAATGCTTATGATATACCTGAAGAAACTGGCTTGGGTGATTTTCCAAGGTTGAAGATTTTGGTGAAGATTTAACTTTCTTGGAGTGAGATTGGGATTGATGGGACTGTTGCTGGTTGAGATGGGAACCTTCTGAAGGTGTTTGTGATGTTGTTGTTCCCTGACGCATGGATGACACAATCTGCAGCCAACCTGATTTTTGGTTGGCCTTATCTATATCTGTTACAGGGACAGTTACCTTTACAGGAGAAGTCAAGGGAAGTGATTGACTTGTTGCTGTAGAAGTGTGAAGAAGAGACTGAGTATGTGGAGTAGAACTGACAGGAACAGAGATGGTGGGAGCTGTAGATGTCTGAACGCTGGTCAAATTGGAAGCCTCGTTTGAAGAGTGCCATGATGATAATACCGGCTGTCCTGAGGGATGTGTAAGTTTCTTTTTTCTCTTCTTTTTAGGTGGTGGGCTTTCAGGAGATGAATGATGGTCCAGACTGAGATTTGTGTCTGAAAGCAAACATCGAATAAACTTGTACAGTAGTTCAAAGCTCTGTACATATAGTAAGGACTAACACTAAACTCATACATGTTTATATATTAAGTGTGCGTACAGTATATACTATTTCAAGCTAGAGTGCTTCTCCACTTGCATTATTTTAATCGTAAACTTTTCAATTGTTCCTCCTTGAAATTTTGTTTAGTTGCTTACATAATTTATTTTGCTCATCTAAATTTTTTGTTGAAGTATGAGTATTGTACTAATATTTTTATAGTACACAGAATCAATTAAACATGATCTATTTTCACTTCAACTTTCTGATCTGGAACACCATTGAGGTTGACATTAAATAAAAATATAAGATCAGAGGTTGAGATTTTTAGTGACAATCTCCGAATCTATTATTAGTTGTAGGGAACAGGTATAAAAATATCTTCTGAATTAACCAGAGCACAATTTGTGGATTAACCATTGGCAAATGCTATGTATCCTAGAGACATTTTAGTATAACACCCCAGTTCTTAAAGAAGTCATCTTATATAGGAAATTCCTCCATCATTGTTAAAAGCATTTAAAATACTGCATAGATACTTGAAACAGTTGTAAAAGTATGTGCAACATGTTGTCATTTAAGCATCTACACGTGGGAAGCAACAATGAAAAATTTGAAACAAGATACAAGAACAATATTAAGACCAAAAATATCAAAATATGCGAAGGAGGGTTAAGGCCCCAGACCCCGTAAGGATGAAAGTGCAAAACAACTTTTAGAATACACCCTGGACACAAATGTTAGTTGTAGCTAAAATGAAAAAACTTACTTGACAAGCTATCAGTAGGTTCAGGGACTGCCAACCCCTTTATCTTAAGACATTCAGCAGTCTTCAGCAGTGTTGCAAGGTTGGCCTGGCGCACATTAACCTGTTTAGGAAATAGAAGATAAATTTTTTAAACTAGAAATCTGACTTCGTTTTTTATAATCTACCAATAATTATAATCAGAGTATAATTATATAAGTATAATAATTATAATCAATTGCTACTCTAACCAGTAGCAATTTAGTCGATAAAATCATCTAATGTAACCAATGAGCTATTTCTACCCATTACCAAGATAGTTAATGTAGTCTAAGTGTGTAACCGTTAAATTCTCTCTCACTCTTAGGAACATAGCCAATGCTACCTTTCTATGTAACCATTAGTGAAAGGTTACCGGATCTTGGCCACACGCTGTAAAAACCCAATACAGTACGTACCAGCTACAGCGCTGGATAAAACAAAATTACAAAAATTACAGCAAGTATATACTACAATAACATGTTAAAATATGAAAGGTACTTAAATCTAAAGAGCAAGAATAAAAATGTAAAATTTTAGCTTTTCCACAAGTATGTGTACTAAAGAATATAAGAAAAGTGTTTACCAATCATAGAATATAAAGTATTATAATTTATTTATTTTGCATTTTCATTTAGTTTTAAAGCAGACATGCCACCTGAGAGGCCACTGTTCAATAACAAGGCTTGACGCAACCCAAACCTGAGCACACTTTACTAAAGCTTCTCTATTAGGCTCCAACAGCCGAGAAAGATGGTTAAGAAGTCATGTTTCTTAATGCAAATGCTTCCTCCACTCTGTAAACATTTTTTCTGTGTTTTACATTACCCTACAGCTTATAAGCATTTGTGCATTGTTCAGCACATAAATACTTTTACTCTCCCATGAAAATTTTGCCCCACATTATGAATACTGTACCACTGCCTTTTTTTAATTTGTCTACCATCTATCTGCTCACCTTAAATGCTTTCATATCTGCATCACTCATCCCAGGGGTTTTCTTTATAAGATCCTCATCCAAAAGTCTAGCTTTTTCACAATTGATGACCTCTGAAACACCATCACCCGCTAACTGTTTGCCATTTATCCAAATTAACAATAATTTTTAAAAATCCTTTAGTGTTTGTGTTTTTTGCTTCATTAGCACATTTCCACCTTTTGCCACATTAGGCTCAATGTTTTCTTAGGAATTAAAGTGCTTATCGTCGTCGACATAGATTTGTTGTATAGCCTAGCCAAATCAATCACGCTCACACCGTCTTCATGTTTATGAAGGATCTCATTTTTTTCCTTCAGTCATCATCTTCACAACTATTTTCTTAGGTTTAACTTTATCACAAACTTTCTTGGGACCCACGGAGTGATATATATACAGTAATAAGAACTTTTATGTTAAGCAACAAAAAAAGCACAAAAACTATGAAATTGTTCGCAGAGAATTCAAGTGCGGTTATCATTAGGCGGGATACAAGTGTAAACTGATCTTACCGACTTGGACAATTATGAATGAGTGGTTTGTTTGTACTCTGGAATTAATGTCGTACATCACCAGGGCATATTTTCCGACAAAATGTTTGTCATACACTGGAAAATTTGTATTCAGGTGCAATCATACACAGAGGTTCCACTGCACCGTAATTAGAAAAGAGAACACGGAAGAGAAAATTTGTGCACTAACCTGCCCACAGTACATGTAGTCAAGTAAACACTCCACATCCTGAGCCCGTGCCTCGTTGAGCACTATTACTGCCCTCGAAGTGTCACTTGGTGTCTGCTGGAATATTTCATCAAAGAAATCACTGCAAGTGGCAAGAACAAGTCTGTGCACCATGAAGAGACGTCCTTCACATGCAAGCGTCGCATCAGCATATCGTGGCTGCAAGGAGAAAGCATTCTTATAGCCACCTTATTATCAAATATATATATCTATGGAGATGTATAGAATATATTCTTCAATACTACTATACATGGCAATTATATTTACAAAATTAAACATTGAATGTAAAGCAAACCCTTTTCTGGTGGGTGCCCAATAGCTCCCCAGCTCAGCTTTGGTACCACCAACCCCTATCCCAACACACTAGTCCTCTAAAATCCATACATTGCCTACTGCAAGCCACAACCAGAATTTGGCTTCCTCTATGAGGCAAGTGGGAGAAAGTGGATCAGAAATCAGCCACAGAATTAGGAAAACCAACCAAAAAAACATAGGCACAACACATCAGTCTGGTCCTGGCTTCCAGTAGGAGACAGATGGGTCTGAGGCCTGATGTGTTGGATAAGGTACAGAGGTTCCTGAGCTACCAAGGGGTTCCTCACGGAAAAATACATAAATCATTAAACACGTCAATATACTATAGAGAACTGAGCATTTTCCATGCTAAACAATGCAACAAATATTTGTTTAAAAATTACTAGTTGGCATAGAGATAATACTTAAAAGTTTTTAAAACAATTCTGTAAGTAAAGCAGAACATGAAACTGGAAATAGCAGTTTATTACTACAGCTAAATCACTCAAAATTTATAAAAGTAACCCCAGAACGTGTTTAAAAACAATAATATACCTTAGAGCGAAGTCTGTGTAAGATGTGGCAGAACGTTGCTTCATGGTTGTTCCACCTCAGCTTCAACAAACCTTCTGCCAAAGCCATTATAGAGCTGCACACCTGAAGAAAAGACATTGTACTGCATAAGAACATGTAACAAGTGAACCTCTAAAGACTAAGAGGCAATGAGAATAAACACAATTCCATTTTCTCCTGAAACTGGCAAGTTATTCAAATCCAGTCAATACTGAATTTATTACTTAGCTCTGGAATGATTATTATTATATCAACCCCTGTCCATTCCTCTGAGAATTTTGTAGGTGGTGATCATGTCTCCCCTAATTCTTCTGTCTTCCAGGGATGTGAAGTTTAATTTCCCTAGCCTTTCCTCGTAACTCATACCTCTCAGTTCTGGGACTAATCTGGTGGCATACCTCTGAATCTTCTGTAGCCTTGTCTTGTATGCCATTTGTAGAAGTTGCGTGTATATTCCCTCCGTATTGCTTTATTGGTATTGAGGTACAGTACAGCACTTCAGAATGTTTGTCAGAGATCTGGGTATAGGTCGTGGAACAGTGGAACCACTTACTCGTGTTTACTTGGCGAGTTTTGTCATCCGATTGAAGGGTTGCACCCATATTTAGACTGGAATGAAGCCTAAGGTAATGTTAATGCCTGTTTACTGGAGCCAGTGGTGCGTGAGGTAGTGTTTCGCTACATGCATGAATCGTTGAATACTATAATGACTGGTTTATAAAGTCTAGCTTTTGTTATTATTAATATAAATGTTTTCTTTTAGTTTGTTTTATTTTTGTTAATTTTTATATTTCATTTGTATGAAATATATAGTTGTAGTTGGTATTGTATTAGAGGATTTGTAATATAGGCTACTGTATGAACTTGAAAATTAATACTGTATAGGCTACTGTATGATTGAAAATAAATTTATCCCAAACCATTTTCATTATAGTACAGTAGAACCTCGGTTGATGACTGCCCTAGAGTACAAAATTTTTATTTGACGAAGTCAAATTCGTCGTAAAATTTGAATTGGTGTACGACGATTTACTTGGAAGACGACGTCTGTTCATACATGTATGGGTTGAACGAGTGCGTGGTGCTGGGGGCATTGGGTGAGGCATCTCAGTTTGTTTACAAGTCTATCCCATGTAGTGACGACCGCAGCCGCGCTTGAATTCTTTGTGAAGAATTTCATTGTTTGCCTGCTTTTTTGTTTTTTTAACATAAAAGTTCTTATTACATAACACGTCATGGGTCCATTACACCTGGCACGGCACACCTCCAGCTATAACTGCTCCTCTGCCTTCATTTCCCAACCAGCAATCATAATCTTCAAGTGTCGAGTAATCTGTTTCACTTAAGCCATACTTTTCTGTCTATGGTTTTGTGGAGATTTTAATATCCATGGAAGGAATTGCGCCCACCCACTTGGATGGTCGGGTACTGAACACCGATCTGCATGAAGCGAGACTGTCGCTCTACCTTCAGGCCAAGTGGTTGGGGTAAGGATGTGTTAGAAAAAAATGTTCCTTGCATTTTTTAAAAGTAGATAACATTTAATGAGACCATGCATTATTCACACTAGATAATGCAACCCAAAAACCTATGAGCAGTGCAGCCATACTTATTTTTATTATGTACTGTACACATAAATAGAATGCTCAATGTGACTTATCCAAATAACAGTAATATACTGGCTTTTATTCAATTAACATAGCGTCTTATGGACCTAAATTCAAATAGCAGAGCCTCATGAACCTTGATTATTTAGACAATTCTCCAACTGCTCCTATGAGCAAGTGCAAGTATTGCCAGAAGATCTTTAATAAGTAATGTGTAATTTTTTGAAAAAAAAAAGGTACTTTAAGTACCGTACTGCTTAATATTTAAGATGTACACATAGAGGAAGTTATTAGCCCTTTATTTAATAACTACATTAACAAAATTCAATACAAAGTTCCATAAAACTTTAAGCACCACATGGTTGCTCTTGCAGGATGTAGTTGTGCAACTTCGCCTATCAATGCCTCTCAAGTTTTGCCTCTACATAGACATACTGTATCTCTCTTACTAACCATGATAAATAATTACTGGCCAGGCATTGTATTAAAACTATTGTATAATATAGATATATCATCCCTTTAGCTCGTATAAATCAGATGTGTTTCGAGAAGTAATATATTTATATTTTCTTAAACTTTACACGCAAATCTCTAAATTGTGAAACTAGAATTATCATAAATTTCATAACAATTACCTAAAATCCAAGTGTCCCTAGGTTTATGAACAGATGTATATTTCTACAAGTATAGATGTTCATACTGATAGACAAAAATGGGTAACTCTATATTATTTTACTGAAAATAGTGATATAAAGTTACAAAACTGGTACAAATGTTTACAAACTCCTATAACCATATCAGTTTAATTTTCCTCGACAGTCGAGTTAAAGCAAGCACTGGCGAGTTATTGAGCGGCTGCCGAGGATGAGAATAAGATGAGAGAGGTCTAGAAACACCAGCATGAGGCTAACAGACTCCCTCATACCTTCTCATTTTTTACGCAACAATTGCAGGTAAGAATGTTACTCACCTCTAGGCGAGCCAGTCCTCACACCCTCACTATGGCTCTCAATACACGCCTCTCACTCCTCATAACACGCACGCTTACCCGTCTGCGTAGAGAGCTTCCTCATGCACTCCTTCTCATACACGTCACTATTAATATCAAAGGGTAAATGGCTTAAAATACGTGTGTGATTCTTATCGTGGGAGCACCTCCGTCCGCCATTACTGAGATTCTGACGCTGATCAACAACACTCTCTCCCATTCCTCTCAACCCACAAAAAAACTTTAATTTATAACATCACTCGTTTTATTTATCGAACAAAAATGCATAAATATGAATGTTTTTTATTGTCAAGGAGGTTTGTATGAGAGTTCGAGTGGTGGCTGCGCGTGTTGGATTTATTGAAGGTGGTGAAGGAAGCGGAAGCCAGAGTCGTGTGGGTCGAGGCGATAAGACTTAGGTTCTAAGCTTGGCTGCCGTCCGCCGCCTTCATTAAAACAGCGTGACACAGTCCTCTTCCTCCCCCCCACACCCGCCAACAAACTTCCCACATCCTCATCTACATTAATTCAACACGCCAGCAGCCATCAAGCTACCCCCACCCCCCTCGCTAATCGCAGCCTGCGACTGGCTAATCTATTATGAGATCCCGACAAGGCCGTGATGTCACAGATTCTAATACAAGCCTGCAGCATCTTATTTATAAAACCTACACCAGTTTTCTTCCACTCACACCACATAATACATAATTTATGGACCCTAGTATTAATATATTAATGAAACGTAAATGCGATAAATAGTCTGGAAGACGTGGTCAGGTTGCCTACTTCCGTTATACACTACTTCAATAATTATTATAAAAAAACCTAGCAGGTCTGCAAAAAAATAATATTACGGTACTTATATGTGAATACATACGTGGAAGAGCATATATATATTATTTGTTAACGAATCACAGAGGTTATCATGCGTTTTAGATTTTTAGTGGCTTTACTAAAAATCTTTACTTTTAGTGGTATTAGTTAGTGGTATTCATATGCTACCCTTAATGTACCTTCAGATGTAGTACCTCTGGATATGTGCTTATGTGTTCATATTTATTAATTAAATATTACTATTATATATATACCTATATTTATAAAAACTATTTTCGCATGAATTCATTTGCGTTTAGCAGAAACTATAGTTTCTTCAGCAATTATGATAATGATAATGTTTATTCAAAAGAATGTGTGTACAAAGAACACATGAGTAATGTACAACTGTACATCCAAGTACATGCACTCTTATAGAGTACATAGAGTGTAGTTAATGTTATAGTTATATGGTAGTGTATATAATTATAGAGTGTAGGAGTGCTCATGTACTCTTATGCAGATCAAATATAGATGGACAGGTACGACTATTTAAGCAAATATCATGTAGAGAATGTAACTATACTTGCCCGGTCTAAGGTGTGTGTGTGTGTGCGAACTGTCCTCTCCGGGGTGGTGAAGGCCCACACGTGTAACCTTAACTGCGTCGTTGGTGGTGGAGGCCACGACGCTCGTTCCGCTCGTGTTAACTCACCAGTAATTGGGGGACCGGTTGTTAACCGATTGGTGGGTACTGTTTCAGGGGTTAAGCAGTTGTAGGGTTTAATCTGAGCTCTCGTGGTAAGGAAAAGCCTAGCTTTCGACATAAGTCAGATGTCGCTTGGTCGTGTACCCACTTGTATGACAAGGAAGTCACAGTCAATGGGGCTCAGGGGTTGTATATGAGGTCCCAGCACAACTGTCAACGTGGGGTGGCCGGGGGAAGGGGGGGGATTATAAAATGTTAGTTATTTATTATATTAATAATATAATTAGGTACACGAGGTACAGTTAAAGACTGTACCTCTCTCAACCGATTTAAGATAAAAACGAAGCACTACCTAATAAATTCCCTGTAACCTACCTTACCCCTATATTGTCAACAATGTTTTTTTTAAACACCGCTGTTTGTCGACCTAATTATATTTGTGCTGCTTTTTCCGCAGCACAAATTGTTTTTAGTCTCACTCTAGGGAAAATCAAAGATATTTATTTATTTATTTATTTATTTATTTACAAGAAGGTACATTGGGGGTTAAGAGATTACATAGTAATGGTGATTTTACATTTGTCCCTCGTGTTGTATCCTTGAGTTTTATTACAGTCTTGATGTATCAGTCAAGAAATACAACAAATGATATACAATATAATACCTTTTAGAATATATTATTATTATAATTGTATATACTTTTTTAATGACAGTATATATGCCACAGCATCAACATGTGAGTAAACATGTCATACATACATACATACATACATACATACATACATACATACATACATACATACATACATACATACATACATACATACTGTGTCTCACTGATTACCATTTGGTACCTTCCTTACCTGGTTCATACGAGGATGATACAAAGGTAATTACTGCGTATGTATCTAACTCTATCAGAGCATACGATGCCTGGAGGCAGCCTAGCAGGCGACCCACATGCCTACACGCCTCCACCGGTGACTGTCCTCTGGTCACCACACACACACACACACACACACACACACACACACACACACACACACACACACACACACACACACACACACACACACACACAGGGTTGATAAAGACAGTCTATTTAACACAAGGGGCACACGCACAAGGGGACACAGGTGGAAACTAAGTGCCCAAATGAGCCACAGAGATATTAGAAAGAACTTTTTTAGTGTCAGAGTGGTTGACAAATGGAATGCATTAGGAAGTAATGTGGTGGAGGCTGACTCTATACACAGTTTCAAGTGTAGATATGATAGAGCCCAATAGGCTCAGGAATCTGTACACATGTTGATTGACGGTTGAGAGGCGGGACCAAAGAGCCAGAGCTCAACCCCCGCAAACACAACTAGGTGAGTGTAACTAGGTGAGTGTAACTAGGTGAGTACACACACGGGCGCTGGTGGCTGAGTGGACAGCACGTTGGACACGTAATCATGTCGACCGGGGTTCACTTCCCGGCGCCGGCGAGAAATAAAATGGGCAGAGTTTCTTTCACCCCTGATGTTCCCTGTTACCTAGCAGTAAATAGGTACCTGGGAGATAAACAGCTGTTATGGGCTGCTTCCTGGGTGTGTGTGTGAAAAAAAAACAGTTGATCGATTGACCGTTAAGAGGCGGGCCGAAAGAACCAGAGCTCAACCCCCGCAAGCACAACTAGGCGAATACACAGTAGTTTCAAAGCGTCATGCGACAAAGAGTACTGGGAAGACGGGACACCACGAGCGTAGGTCTCGTCCTGTAACTACACTTTGGTAATTACAGCCATGGGAGAGGACTATTGTTTAGTGGTCCATCGTGAAGCGAGAGGGACAGAGAGAGAGCACGGAGGGTGACGTCACGGGACATTATAACACGGAGGAAGACGAGGACACTTCGGCACGCAGCCGGAATAGTCCTCTCAGGTATGTCCACACCCCCCACACCCTCGCCCCCCACCCCACACCCCCACACCCTACACCCCAACACCACACATACACACACACACATACACTACATCAGTTGATTGACGGTTGAGAGGCGGGACCAAAGAGCCAAAGCTCAACCCCCGCACCACAACTAGGTGAGTACGGGAGAAAGACAGCCAGGCTACACCTGGATAAACTAAAAGAATGATCTAAAAAAATGGCTACTAGAGTTTAGTTCAAGTAAATGTACTCGAGTATTGAAACTGTACTTCGAGTACTGAAACTAGGTGGAGAGAGCAGGAAGCCGGACACAATGTATCAACTGGACGATACAATTCTTTATGAAACGGAGAGAGAAGGATTTAGAGGTTGGAAATCACGACGAACCTATCTTCTAAAGCCAACAGCAAGAGGATATCATCAGCGGCGTACTCGAGGCTCGCTAACATCAGAATTGCATTTAGAACTGCCTTCAGCAGTCACCGTGGCACAGTAGTAAGACACTCGCCGCGCAAATAATTTGGCCTGGGTTCGTATCCTGGCCGGGGAGGATTGACTGGGCGCCATTCCTTAACGGTACGCCTCTGTTCAACCAGCAGTAAATGGGTACCTGGTTGTTAAACGATTTGGCGGGTCGTATTCCAGGAAAAAATGAAGATTAAGGACCTGCCCGAAACACTCTCCCCCACAACACGCTACCTCCTGAATACCTACTTACTGGTAGGCGAACAGAGGCATTAGGTAAAAGAAAATGTGCCCAACCCTTTCTCTCCCGCCCCGGGATTGGAATCCGGAATTCAGGATTATGCGTCGAGAACGAACCCGACTGTGCTACGGGGACCCTCTTGAGGGTCATTGAAATTGAAATTGAAATTGAAATTGAAATAAGTTTATTGAGGTAAAATACACACAAAGGGATGAGGTAGCTCAAGCTATTCTCACCCCATTCAGTATTGAGGGTCATCGCTCCTCAAACACTTTCACCACACAAGAGTCTACAATATGCAACACTGAGGCTAGATGTAACACTTGAACTTCTTCATGTGTTGGAAGACTGTGTTGTGAGAGACAGTCTTGATGTTTGACCAATGTGGAACACAAGGTCAAGGCTGGAACACCACTAACCTACAAGAAAGAGTCCAGCAGGACACGAAGCCTAGTACAAAACGCTGTGCGTATTAATGGCTTGAAGTATTGTATTGTATGTACTAGCTCTATCTCTATCTCTATCTCTATAAACTCAACATTATGTTCGTAACTCATCATCTATGTATGTACTTTTACCCGAATAAAAATTTGAATTTTGAATTTGAATGACAACCGCCTTCATTGGGAAGAGATGATTTTCTGCTCTAAAGTGAATCTAGAACTTCATTAGGTTAGGGATGAAAGATGACAAGCTGAACTATTTCTCCTTCATATCGTCGTACTAGAAAATGGTAATGGCTCGCCAAATTGACATATACTGTCTCGTTTTCTATTTTGGGTCCTCTGGTAGGTTAGGATAAGGGCACTTTAGTGCGACAGTTTCGTGACGTTGGGGAACCGTAGCAGGAACAGGCTGGATAAACATCTAATCAGAACGTATAAATATTTCACAAGAGTTACGCGTGTGGACAAGAGAACGTCGGCCGGCACACTACGCAGCAGTCCACAGGGCGCCGCAGGAAGCCGCAGGAAGCCGCAGTGACCCACGCTCCTGCGGCTACCACCATTCACTCCCACAACCGTCGCATGCGGCCCCTCCCTCGAAAAAAATAAATTCTTGACCTGTAGCTGCGTTATGGCGCATATTCCATTGTTACCGAGGTCGGTGTTCCGCAGGGCGCCGTACTACCGCCCTCCAGGTCCCACTCCACAAGGTCCTCACACCCGGAGTATAT